TGTTGATCGTTACATCCAACAACGAAGAATACGATGGAGTTGTGAAAGCCTTGGAGAACAAGTTCCAGATCACAAAACTTGGTGACGTGAAGTATTTTTTGGGTATAAGAGTGACAAAGCGTGTTTGGACTTGCGGAAGCTAAGGGATCACGGATTCCAATGGACATCGGATATTTACAGCAAAAGGAGGAGAATGAGAGGTTTCCGAACAATGAGTTCAGAGTCTCAGTTTCAGAGTCTCGTCGGAGGTTTGCTGTATCTATCGGTGAATACTCGGCCGGATATTGCTATCAGTACATCGATTCTTGGAAGGCAGGTGAGCAAACCAACGAAAGCGGATTGGACGGAAACAAAAAGGGTGTTGCGATACCTGAAAGCGACAAGTGATTTGAAGCTAAGACTGGGTTCCAGTGATGAAAAACTTCAAGGGTATGCGGACGCCGATTGGCGCGGAAATGTGAAAGACCGGAAGTCGAATTCGAGCTATCTATTCCGATTGGCTGGTGGTTCGATTTCATGGTGTGCTAGAAAGCAAGCATGTGAACTGCAACTGAACAACCATTCATTGCCGTGCAAGCGGATGAATAAAAGCCTCACTTGAGTTTGTTGTCTTGACCAGTAAAGACGTGTTTTATTATTTACTCTTCTACTTCACAGCTAACAATGTCTGCCCCTAGCGTTGTGTTCGTAAAGAATCAGAAAAGAACTTTTAAGAGTGAGCAAATTGCCATGCCAAGGACCCTTCTGGAATAAATTGAGGTAATAAACAGGCACTTGCTGCAAACTTTAAGTTATTAAGCAAGCCTTTTTGGTAGATATATATCGAGATGGTTGCAGTTTCATTTTCACACATTGCTATCAATCATGAATTGAACTGTTTTGAATGTGACATCTTTACTGGCTGTTCTGAAACACTCGTTGCGTATTGATTTCATTATCTGCCACCGCAATTCGCAGAGATGATTACAAGTTGACGTCTGACAAAAATGAGCTGACTATTAAATTCGCTATTTTCATTATTGAGAAGAGTCATTCTTTAGATAAGTCCATCCGAACAAAGAATACATCATGAAACTTTGATTGGAGCTTATCCCTGCATTCTAGGTCGAAAATTAAATTTCTAAATTGTTCATCCCAAGCAACCAAAAGTTCGGATAAAAGCCCTTTTTTGGCTTTATATGCTAATCGAAAGATTATGAAGAGAATTCTATTCAGCTTACTTTTTAAGTAATTAACCGAACTTCCAAGTTCACCCCAACAAACAATTCAGAGTCACAAATAAGCATATGGAATAAATGCTGCATTACAGTGTACAATGCTGAATAAACCGAGTTGTCAAATTATGTGCTGAAAAAAGCTCATTGAGATTAATAGATGCACATTTATTCCACTGTTTGATCTGATCTGATTAATTGTCTAATTAAAAGCTGTATAAACGTTGACTGTCTTCCCAATTCAACGCCAGAAGCTTGATCTAATAACAAACTGAATAAGCGTAATTTGCACATACCTTTAAGGTTTTTTTTCGGCTGTTTTCAATTGATTTAATAACATACTTTATTAGACGTATAATAAATGTTTTCTAGCTCTATCATTAGATTTCATTGAATTGCTTTACAATATTGCTGAATAAAGGTGGATACAGTCAGCAGAATAGCTCTTATACCACTATGCGTCCATGTTTAATCGCATGCCTTGTAAATGCTTTATAAATGACGTATTACATTCATTATTCCACAACACTGGTTCAGTCTAACAACAAGACAAAACCAGTAGAGTAGTGGTTATCGTTTCCGCTTTCCAAATAGAAGGTCGAGAGTTCAATCCCAAGCTCAACCCTTTTTTATTTGTGTGCTACGCCTAATTAATTTAAATAGTAATCGTCGATCACATGACTCACGACAATGAATGCATTGATCTAGTTTAAAAATAACCGAGCATCCTTTCCTTGAAATTGGAGAGGTACAGAGGTAATATTGGTCTCATGTAAAACAACGCTGAATGAATTAATCATTCCCACAGGTCCTTGATGGAGTTAGAGTTGCGATCGGGAGTGCTGATAGGTATTCACTTTCAAGCAAGCTTTTATTGATTATTGAGCTGCCCTTATTATGAATTCTAGGATAGCTCAGATGACAAGACAAGCGGCTGGTGATCGGGAGGTACATGGCACGAATCCCATGCAACGACATGTATATGTATGTAATTCATTTTCTAATATCTGTCTGGTGCATGCCACGTCAGAAATAACGAAAACAATCACTAAAGAAAACACCCATCCCTGTCCCCCCGTCCCTCTTATTTTCGGGTTAATTTTCCCACAGTTGAATAATCGTTTAATAAATGTACAATAATGTCATATTAAACGTTACTTCACATGAGAAGCAAGCGTATACAGAGCATCACTATTTTAATTAGGGGAAGCAGTGATGTATAATAAACGCTGAATAATCAAAAATGTTATCGAATAAGCTCTGTTACAACTGATATAAGTCAAATAAAAGCTTCTCGGCATACCTTATACAACACCAATAGTTCAATGTATTGTGGTTGAATAATTGAGTTGCCGAGTAGGTGCATAGAAATTTAATTTTGATAAAAGTTCTGTGGAGCCAATGCACTGCGAACCGATATCGTTTACAAATGAAACCATTGCATATTCACGACGCTCTTTTAATGTTTGTATGTTTATAAGCATGCAGCTTGCTTCATATGATGAAAGAGGAAATGATGTCCAACCTAATTTACGAAGAGTGTATGAAGGGCGAACACGAAATTATTGCGACACATTCAACAGGGCATAACTTTTTTAACATTGGGTAAAAATCAACCAAATTTTGCACACTTTCTCATTGATGTGTATTGTGTACATGCTGTCAAACTCGAAGTCGTGTTTTTTGATTTAACGAAAATGGAGGTGAACCAACGCGAGTTGAGAGAACAAATTCTTTCCAAACACCTGGAATTTCCTGACCTGTCGCACCGGCAGTTGGGAAAAATGTTGAACATTCACCATTCAACCGTCTCCAGAGTGTTGACGTTGGACCATGGCAAAGGAGCTAGAAGAAAACCGGGACCGGAGAACAAAAAGACGGAGGGAAAGGTGAAGCGGATGATTAAAGCAAATCCCAACGTCTCAAGCCATGATTTGGCTAAAAAGATCGGCATGTCGCAGAGCTACGTCCAGAATGCAAAGAAGAGAGCTGGACTACATACATACAAAGTACAGAACTTCCCAACCGCGATGAGCGGCAACAATCGACGGCTGAAACTCGGGCACGGAAGCTTTACGAGAAGATGCTGACAAAATATGGCTGCTGTGTGATGGACGACGAAACGTATATAAAAGCCGATTTTAAGCAAATTCCGGGGTTGGAGAGTTTCACCGGCAAGAGCAAGTTCGATGTGGACGACAAATTTAAGAAGAAGAAAATGTCGAAGTTCGCCTCCAAATATCTCATTTGGCAGGCCATCTGCTCTTGCGGACTGAGGAGTGAGCCTTTCGTGACAAAGAGCACCGTTTGACATTTGACAGCTTGTTTTGTTTTTCTCAGAAGTTTTCATAAACCTCGAAAAGTACGAAACGCAATACCATTCACCGTAGTAGAAACATAGAACGCTCGAGGCTTTAAGGAGCTGTTGGTCTTTCCAGCTGCGGAAATCACAAAGTGGACACATTTCGTTCTGGTTAAACGCAAACAGTGTCGCAGAACAAGATTAATTGATCCGTGACGAAAGCAGCTGTCAAAAAAAGTCATGGCTGAAATTCGGATGTACGGTGAGACGAAATCCTAAGGGAAGCAATGAATTTCTTGGACGATCGGTATCAATTTCTTTTTATATTGGAGCATGTTGAGATGTGGTAGACTGTTGATCTTGTAAAGCAAATAAGATTACATGCCTAGGTATTTGATATTAAAGAAAACTTACAATACAATATATTAGCTGGTTGATCGGCAGCTTTGTTTTCCGATTCCCATTTTGCTTATTGCGATGATAATAAAACAAGCCATTATTTTTAATCGTTTTCGAAAAATCCATTTTACGCTTTCGTACCTATAGCCAAGTTTGGAGCAGAACACCGTTTTACTCTTCAAAAGTAAACAACATTTCTGAAATTGACATTTCCAAAGTAATTTACAAGTTCAAGTCAAGGTTCAAGTCGATCTTCCTTCAAACTTTGTTTATATGTTTCTTAAGTTGTTGCAAAGTCTTATCTAGAACTTTACGTGTACTTTAAAGCCTTAAAGAAGTTCAACATAGCTTAATTGTGAACTTTCGCGCTGCTTAAAGGTACGGTTAGTACTTAGATTGAACTTTGTGTTAGAGGTTCGAAACAGGTTCTTTATTAACCTTTTGTGAACTTCACAGTTCAATTGAACAGGAACAAGAAACTTCGGTTGAACTTTCAAGTTTCCAATAAATATTGGCGGTACTTTAAAGAGCATTAAGTCCTGTTTGTACGTGTAGTGCCTTGTTAATCAGCAAGAAAGTTCCACGGAACTAAATTTGAACCAGATGTGAACTTTAGAGTTCGTTTCTCAAGTAAAATCCGAACTTTAGGTTGCTTGGGATATTAACAGTGAATGGCATTTCAAACATTCCCAATTACTGTGTTCTTGATAATCTGCAATACGAATTCCTGCTGAAGGTTTTTGATATTTTCAGGATATTTTGCTATTTTACTCGAACCATTTTCAGCAAGATGATGAAAGTGTACAGCACAAATCTTTGTGTAGCAACTCGTGATTCATATTTACACAACAAAAAAATATATCACAAGTAAGATATCTTTAAAATGGGTTGGTTTTCGACAGAATTGCTGCTATGGTTTTATGTCACACCAGTAGCCTTATTTAAAAAAAAATCTCTAGTGAACTGAGTTCAAGCCCAGATTTGTTAAATTTTGTGAAACGGTATCGATCTGAAAATATTTTCAAATAGCATAAGTTACAACCATAAATTTGGCTGAAATATTCTTTTCTTTTTCTCATTTCTAGGAAAACCTCGGTACCACCCGGCTGGAGGTCGAGAAGCTCAAATCCATCCTGCGTAATGTGTACCAACTGTCTCAGTCTTCGATCTCATTTTTACGAGAGCAGCTAGCGGCTCTCAAGTCGGAAAATGTTGCCCGCCAAGCCGATTTCCGCAGTAAACTAGAGGCAATCAACAAGTGCTGGACTGTTATACAGGAGGAAACCCGTAACCGCGAGCGGGAGACGATCCAACGGCTCACCGTGGATCACGAGCTGGAGATGAACGATCTGCGAAAGAGCATCCACCTAAAGGACGATGAAATTCAGTCCCTTCGATCGGATAATGCAATGATGAAGGCAAGCCACATTGACACGGTATCTAAGTATGAATGCGAGAAAAAGGAACTGAACGAGAAGATTGACGAAATGAAGGAAGTCGTTAGTAGACTGGAAAAGCAATTGGCCGATGTCGACGTGGATAAAATGAAGGCAATTCAAGAAGCCGTGGAACAACTGGAGCATAAGCACAAAACTGAAATCGAATCGCTACGGTGTAGATACAAGCTAATGACAAGCATGGATAGATCGCCTTCGGATACCAGCTTGGAAAAGATTGAGAAGCCAGACATGATCGATATTGCGAGTCATGAGCAACTGCTGGCACAGGCTAAGGAGGATTTTAATCGGGAAAAGGAACGTGCAATTAAAGCAGCAATCTATGAGGAAAGGCAACGATGGGAGTCTGTACAAACTTTGAGACCACAATCGCAGCGTTCACTGGCCAATTCACCCGGGACGCCAACGGGGAGCAGCGACATCTATAAGAGAATCCTAGAGGAAAAAGAACGACAGTTGGATGAGCTGCGGGATAAGGAGGTACTTTTGCTGAAAGAAAACCAACGGTACAAGGAAACCATTCAATCACTGACGGATCCGGAGCTGTGCTCCACTCAAACGAATTTTAAAGAGCGGATCGAGTCACTCGAACGGGACAAGCAACAGTTGACTAAAGAGCTGGAAAGACTGCACAACAGGCCGCTTGCCAGTGGTGGTGTTTCGGTTCAGTCTTGTTCTAAAGGAGATACTGTGCTGTTTGTCTTCAATGGCACATACGATCAGTACACAATCGTGCAGGTAATTGAGAGTAAATTTATATTGATTATATTTGCGATTAAGGGTTATTGTTTTACATTTTCAGAATGCGCCGGTGCTGTATTTTCTTCATGCCGATAGTTATGCGGCGTTTAACCTTTCGCAGCTAGTACCGGGCAAGGTGCCAAAGATAATCCACTGCATGGGCACCGTGCTGGATAAAGAATACTGCCATGCGCGTAAGGATGAGAACCGATACAAGGTGTCCCGAGGCACACGGTTCTACCGGGTGAAAGTCAAACCGATGCCAAGTAGCAGTAGCAGTGGAACTAGTACCAGCAGCAGTACATCGAAAAGTGTCGATCCGGATAAGCACTCCCACAAGAAGGAAAGAAGTATGTATAAAGAATTATGGTAGACAAGGCAAGGCGTATTATACATGTGTATTGTATTTTGATTAAAGGTAAAATGTCAGAACTGAGTCGCTCTTCGTCGACGATTACCGATCAAAGCATGACAGCTGGGACTCCTGGGCTTCTGATCGATTCGTTCGCACAAACCGAACAGATAATCTCCCCTTTGATGGAAGATTCGGCAATCCAGAGTAGCACTAGTCGAGATATGATCGATTCCGGTGTGGTGGAACAGCAGAAAAGTACCTACAAAGAACGCAACATCAGCGTGACTGACGAAGAGGACATCGTGTACAGTGTGAGTGGCAGTGTGGACGAAGGAGATCAGCAACAACACCAACTTCGCTTTCAAAGTGTCTGTGAGGAGGAGCATGATGATCCAGCTGAACAACAGGACAGCAGCAATAGTAATACGACGGTAAATTTCTATTTGTGATAAGTACAAGCAATCACAACGTCTGTACTCATTCACTCACTCACTCACATACATTTACTCTTAATCTGCACCCATATTATGCATTTCTGGACGAGAACACTGTCTGTAGTGATCCGCTTTTCTCAGTCAGGCTGCTTTCGATTCAATTGCTTCCATTATATGCTTTTTCGTGAGCTTCATTAACGTAGGTACGCATAAAGATAAAATTCATTTCTAAAAAAAGTCATCCACCAATCAGAGCGATTCATGTTAGGTAGCATCTATCTTTATCTTACTCATAGTGGCTTACTGGAACGAACGCTTGAAGGCGAATGAGAATGGCTTCATTAATTATACATTTTTATGTGCAAGTTTTTAACACCTGAGAATTGTGACAATATTTACACATGTTTTGATACTCAATGTACTATTCTTTCCCAGAGACCCGTCTAAAGTTTTAAAGCAACATGAACACGAAAAAAAATGCTTTCTTGCTTCATTGTTTTCTTCTTTTTTCTTTGTTCCTTCTTGGCGCGCGTCTTGCTCGATGCTATTGATATCAAACAAACGCATACGATACGAACTGAAACACAAGCTGATGCTGTTGAGAGCTTTTCTTCTTCTCAACGACGACGAGTGAAAGAGAAACACACACAGGGGGAGATTTTGGCGGAAACAAAATGTGGCTTTCTATTTCGCTTCTATTTTAATTACCATATAGGCAGGTTGTACGATATCATATGAGCATAATGATCAACAAACTCATAACTAGTGAGACACGGTTTATTAAGGGAAAGGACTTAAGAAAACTTTTTATGTTATATTTAGACAAAATTAAGGACAAAAAAATAACGAAAACAGCAAAGAAAAGTGAAGAACTGTGCGAATAAAGTTTTGAATGTTTAGAAAAAACCTAATCCAAAATTGTGTTATTCATTCTCAAAGTCCTTTTGCTTAATGTTGCCCATTTTTTCATTACGTTGTGCATGGCTTGCATTTGTTCTGTTGTTCGGTTAGCACGTTTTGTTGCGATCTCTAATAAAGCATTGTGTTGCGCCTTGGTTTGTCTGCTCGTTGACACTATTATCATGGATTAAAGAGAACAACAAGAATGGCTCAGTTACCCATCAAGTTTCAGACATCCATATGGTACTACAGCAATGATCCGATTATATCAACTCCTCAACGCATCAGACTTTTATCTTTCAAAAATTTCACATAACCGTAATTCCAAATCTTTCTCATTCATCGTCAAGTTGGATGTTTAAGGTTGTGTAATAAGACAACTGAAATAGCGCATGGGTGTCGTCGAACCTTAGAAAGAAATTAATTTCAAAAAGGGATTTGATAAAATCGGGTCATTACTGTATATGGCATATATGCATTAGCTTGATACATTTAAGCATTAAACAAATTAGGACGATTTCTTCCAATGGGCTGCACCCCACGAGCATAGTCCAGGTCTTGTGGCCGTAGAGGATTACTGGCCTAATCAGCGTTTTGTAGATAGTCATCTACGGGCGGCGGCGAACTTGATTCGACCGGAGCGACTTTGTGTCTGAATTTCTTTGCTTTTGTTATTACTAACATTACACTCGTCGGCCAGCTCTAACGTATTAACTTGTCAGCTACCTCTATTTCATCGCCGTCAATCCGAACTCGTGGTGACAGACTAACATTGCTTTCCCTTGAGCCTCACCCGCTTATGTCTTTCGTTAATGACAAGTCGAATCCTGTCAGCCTCTGCCTTCAGTATGATGTACGTTTCCGCCATGGATAGGGTCTGGTGGGTCAAGAGCAGTGTTCGGAAAATCTCAAAAACTCAAATCTCATGCATGAGTTCATGCGCCAATGAGTTTTGTCTTGCAAAATTTAACGTCGCAAAAATCACCGATGAGTTTTCAGGTTCAAAAATTCATTGCTTTATATTTTGGTGTTATTCATTGTTATTACTATTGTTTGTGCATCAGGGGTTGGAAAACTAACACAACATGCATAGGCATGATATCAATTGATGTTTGAGTGGTTTTTATGAGTTTAAAGCTGAAATGATTTTTTGGCGTTGTGAGTGTGAGTGCGTGAATATGTATGAGAATCTCAAGCGTGAATTTTGGTTGCCGCATTCGCATGCGAGTTTATTCTCGCAGCGAGGCTCAATGAATGAGATTTGAGAATGATTTTCCGAACACTGGTCAAGAGTGCCACGTTAACAATTGTACGTGCCAAACAGTGAATATTTATAGGAGTTTGCACACCGTATTACAAGTTCATAACATTGGCTTCATAAATCAACAATGTAATGCAAATTAAATGTCCTCTGAAATCTTTTTTTGAAACTGCAATGGGGCAAAAGGGCCATATGACTTAATTGGAGTGAAATCGATTACTGCTTATTTATAAACATAGCCTTTTGATTATTAATCATGCTAGCAATAGCAATTGTTTACTAAATTTATCTATTTAATTTTCCAATATTATTCAATATACATAACAAATAAACCATGTTTACCTATGCAGGGCTGGTAGCAGGTCACTTTTTAGTGACTTGGTCACTATTTTGAAGCCAGTCACTAAAAAGTCACTTTTTATACCAAAAAGTCACTAAAGTCACTATTTCCGTAAAAATAGTCACTAAAGTCATTTTTTCACAAAATGTTTAAATTGATTACTTGGCACTTAGAAAGTCTACAGTAGTTTTAACAAAATATACATATCTGTTAAACAATTGAAAATTTTAACCAGGGTGACCAGTGAACCGCAAAACGTTAGAACACCAGGAAAACTATTGGGAAATGCCTTCAATTTCGATTTAAAAGAGAATTTCAAAGGATTCTAGGGCAGACACCAAGATATATCAGAGAAGAATACCAACGTACAGACTACGAAAGTCTCATGTAAAATTAAGTGTTCTGACGACCGATTTCTTCATATCCGCTTAAATCTTAAGCCAGGTTTACCTATATAGTTAAACTTGGCTTAACACATACAAGCGTCGCTTTTGATTATTGTTTAAATTATTAGAGACGCAAAATTCAGCTCCGAAACAATTTTGGAAATAATTCTAATGTAATTGAGAGTGCATTTTAACGAGTGTTCTAAAAAGAATACTATGATGATTGGATGAGGATTCTAGGTCCAATTATAATAAGAATTCAAAATTAGTTCTAAAATGGCTCTGATGAAAATTCCATGAATATCCCGTGAACTCTAAAGATGATCTCTGTGGATAGTTCTAAAAGAATTCTGGGGTGATTACTGACGATACTTTCAAGAGAATTCTAAAGAGTTCGAAATAAATTCCGAGAAGAATTCAAATGGAATCGAATTTTGAGGGTTCAATCTCAAAGGAATTCTGAGAAGAATTTCAAAGTTTGTGATGGATTTTTGTTTTGAGAATTCTGAGGAAATACTTTGGGGATTCTAAGGAAAATACGAATTGAATGCAAGGGAGAAGTCCATGATTATTCTAAGCAGAAATTTATGAAAATTCTGAGGTTAATTGCTTGGAAATTCTAAGGATGGATTTATGGAAGGAGCCTTCAGGGAGTTTTTAAAAGAATCAATAAAAATCGAAAATAATCTACTTTAACTAATCATGTGTTATTTTATTAATTCATGCGTGAATTTAACGATTTACATAGTCGGAGATGCTTAACGTCAAATATCAGACTTAAAATGGAGATTTTATACGACCGAGGAGGAGATTCAATTATAGAGTTGATAGTTCCGTTATAGTACGGCAGTGTGAAAATTGTTTATCAATGTAGAAAGCGAGCAAAGGACAATCTTAAGGAAGGTACGAATCGGGCAGTTGGTTACGTCAGATGGCCACTTGAGTGTGAAACAATCAATAGAACTGTTTCCGAACATCAGAGGTACATAAGCAAATCGGTGATCATCCCTTTTGCCAGTGGTGGCAGGGGGAAACACCCCTCACCATCCCTCATTAACGGATGAGCTTGGTAAAGGAGATGCTCTACTCTATTCGTACCTTCCTCAAAATTATCCATTGTTCGCTTTCTCCTTTATATATTTAGCATAATTTTACACTGCCACACTATAACGGAACTATCAACTCTTTACTTTCATCTCCTCATCTATCGTATCAAATGTCCACTTTAATTCTGATATTTGATGTTAAGCGTTTCCAACTACGAAAATGATCTATTTCATTCAGAAATCGACTAAATTTTAAATCTGGTATACGTGGAAATAATTAAAGACTTCATCCCAGTCATAGTTGATCTAGTTGAATAAATCACTCCAGAACGATTTCTTCTTCTTCTTATTCGCATTTCAAGCTTATTGATTAGTGCATATTAGCTTATTGCATGCTCTCCACTTAGTGTTCTAAATGCACTCTCAAAGTTATTAATTGAGAGCTTTCGATGCCAATACCAATGCATGAATTTGTATATTGTGTGGCAAAAACACAATTATACCAACAATCAATACGAAACTAACGATTTTAAATTGGCTCACCACTTTAGTAGCCTATTGGTCCCAAGCAAACGATTAACGTACCCTATTCTAGTTGAAATTCTATTACTACACTATGTTTGTTTTGATTCGCTATGAAAGTTTGACAGATAACATCAGGGGTGTGTGGATTCATGCAGAACATGCAGGGGTGAGTGAAATAGCTTGGGACTGCTTGGGACCGTTGTTCTGGTACTGAGTGAGCCAAAAATAATAATGATTTTCTTCGGGACCCAGTAGTCTTAGAGTTACCTCTATGGTAATACCGTGCCTTTACTGACTAAGCTATGAGGCCCAGAACGGTTTGGAGTACTTAAAACATCTGGTATACATGACAATAGTTCATGCATGACCCACATAGACACTGTGCATCGGTCTGGAAATATTTCGATTCTAAAGACATTGTCCCAATCTCGGTTGATCTAGTAGATCAAATTATCTGAACTCCAGGATGATTTGAAGAACCTTGAACATCTGGATTACTCGGAAATAGATCATGCGTGATCCACATAGACACTTTGAAT